CAAAAATTCTTGGAAAATTCGGTGTTTTCAATCTGAAGATCGGTAAATTTTGTCTATTTAATGAGTTTCTAAAAACTCATTAAAATCCGTTTGCTTTCCACTTGAATCGCAAGATAATTTGATATAAAAATAAAGAGGTTATATAGGCCAATATTTTTGTAGGCCACGTTTTTTCTCAATTTTATTGTGAAATTATTTATGGGTCTAGTGATAAGCAAATGGAAATTGATAGGTTTTAAGCAACTCGTTAAATTAATTTATTATTTTTTTATTATTGAAATTTTCAACTGTATTAAATGATAAATACAACAAGTAAATATGAAATAAATAACATGACATGTACAACATGAAGAGAAACTACCCATTGGTAGTACTCCAATTATATTTCTATATTAGAAGGTTCCGAAGCAATCTTCTTTTCAGACGCATCGGAGGGTTATCAGAAATAGAAGAGGAAGCAAGATTGGAAAAAAGAGGGTTCGCAAGTTTATTATGGAAGGACAGGTATCTGGATTCAACTGAATCGGAAACATATGGTACATTAAGGTCGTTATGGATAATTTAATTTGTGACAAAGTATGGAGCATTGAGGATTTTACGAATGATTTTGGATTGTAGGGATTGGATAGGAGAGGAATTTGATGGTTTAGTATAGCCCCAAAGCTCAATCCCGTAAGTCCTAATAGTCCTTATTATATATAGTCATATATATGAGTCTTTTGTAAGTAGTTGGAAGTTTGGAGCGTTTGTCTAGTAAGTGCTGGAGTAGTCGAAAACATCGGGCGGTTTCTAGTCGTTTCAGTTTGGTATGGGAGTAAATTAATTAAATGAGAAAATACCCAATTTCTAAGAATTTTCGTTGATTAAAATGTTTTAGGTTACGATAATATAAAGTTACCTATGAAGTAATGGACATGAAGTAGGGATCTTTACCACGAACTAATACCTTCTCTTATTATACATTTGACGTGTAAGTAAGTGGAACTAAAGTGCCTCTATATTGAATAGAAATAAACATGAAAAGAAAAAGTCAATTGTAACAGAAAAAAAGAGGCCTTTCCATTGACCAGTAAAAATATTCCAGAGGGTTCTCCAGGCTCATTAGAATCCTCCCTAAGAGAGACAGCTGGAGCCTGGGCCCGTTTTACCTTCCCTACCCTAATAAATACTCCAACAATAAATTAAGGGATTTTTTTCCTGTGGTTCTTTCTTTAACTGCTGACGAGTACATTAGTGCCGGAGGAGTTTTAGTCATTAAATCGCTTAGGTCATTTAGATTTGGTTACATCTGGGCAGTTTAGGATACGGGACCTGGAATTGTTTTTTTCAAAAATTAATATTACTAAGGGTTAGGTAGGGTACGGGTTTTAGGGCGATAACTTGCGAGATCATTACGCTCGTTTAATATTACTAAGATTTATTTAATAGTCAAAAGGACATATGGATGTATAAATACATACAACAAATTAATTTGTTAGAAGAATATAAAATCTGATAAGAACTTGTGAATAATCAATCCATTAGTAGCACTTCATTGATTAGATTAATTAGGAGGTCCATCCAGCATTTTCTTTTCAGAGGCCTCGGTGGTTTCAGAAACTGTGTTATATGGGCTAGAGTGACCAACGAGTATGGAATTAAAGGAGAAATATCTGATTGGGGCCAAATATGTAACTAAGGAAATATTGAGGTCTTTCCTCTTATTATTGAGGATAATTTTATTTGTGACATAATAAGGAGTATGAAAATTCCGGTTCAGTACTGGTTTCACTATGTTCTTTTTTTTGGGAGGAGAGGGGGCGGGGTGGCCGAATGGGCTAACGCTTGTGCACAACACCGCGAGTTGCCCAGCAACCAAATTAAAGATTTGAAAGATTAAAAAGTACGAGTTCGCGGCCCTGTTCTGGAGAGGATTTTTAAATTCCCCTCTTTCTCATCCCCCGGCTCGAGAAAACCACGTATATTCTATTAGGCGAGGTAGGGGAGCACCAAAAAAAAAAGGAATATATATATTCCTAGAGATCGGGTTGGCCGAACGGGCTAACGTGTGTGCACAACACCGCTGTTTCTCGACAACCTGATCAAGACAAATTGATAAAAAACAGTCACGAGTTCGTGTTCCGGTGCCAGGAGGGTATTTTAAATCCTCGTCTTCAACCCCTGGCCATGAAAACCCCGTATAGCATAAACGCGAGGAAGGGGAGAACACAAAAAAAAAAGAAAATAATTTGAGAAGAAAGTTGAAACATATTGCTGAAAATCTGGGCCTTAAAAATAAATTGAGTTTTTATTAGGATGGTGACTCTAAACTCCGTCAAATTAGTTAAGGAATGGCTACTTTATAACTGCTCCCAAGTTATAAAAACTCTACCAAAGCCAATAGATCTTAATGTGATAGAACACCTGCCTGCAAAATTGGAGGTAGAAATTAGAAAACACGGAATTTCTAGCAAAGAAGACTTTAAAAACTATCTCCTCGAAGAATGAAACAGGCTGAGTCCATCATAAAAAAAACAAAAAAAAAAAAACATACCTCATTTCCATGCTTTAGAGGAGGCTGCGATCGTGTCGCTTTAGTACCCAGGATTCGCTTGCATTACTGAGGATAGATACGAACGTCGAGCGATATATGGCTAATTTTGTTTCTTTTGCCACTTCTCTCTTACTTTTTGTTAAGCTAGCTGCTCTATCAACTCATCATTATTGTGAATCCTCAAATTCTTCTCGTTTCTTGATACAAGCATACTGTCATCAGCAAATGCAAACGATGAATAGTTGACTGATTGTAATTTCCAATATCCAAGTTGTCCCCTTGGTTCTCCTCTAATATTCTAAAAAACTTTTCATATGTTTTAGTTTATTTTTTTTTTATTCTTTCGTTCTATTTCAATATCTATTAATTTCAAAAGGAGAATTTCAGATATGAGGCCGTGAGATGGCAAGGACTTCTTATTCACCTTGAAATTTGTTGATGATCAGTTAGTGATTGCTTCAGACAAATGTAACCCAACCTTGTTAACTCTTACGTGATGAATAAACTTTTAGAGCAGTCCTAATGGAGTCTGGTAATGGATCAATGAAGAAGGAGCCTTCAATTAAGATATACCACCAATAATATTTCGAAGAATAAAAATTATTCGGATCTAAAGGAATGAGAATGTTTCCAGAGTACGTAAGGGTTTTTCGTAAACATTCTCACCTATTTCAGGCTTTATATTCGCGTGTCCAACTGGTCCTCATTCATTCATGAGATTTATTCAAAACCATTAGAAAGATACATGAATCTATTTAATATAATTTAAATATAATCTTGACAGATGTTATAAGACATCCGATTGTATAAAAATTGAGTTTAATGAAAAATATTTGTCTCAAAATCTACCTTTGTGAATAGTTCTTAAGACGACTCCACCGCAGTGACGAACTGCTTATCAAATATTTGTAAAGTATGAAATATGAAAGGACCAAAGCACCAATGGGGCATCTACATATATGACAAATCGTTTGACAAATATTATTGACCAAATTTGGGTTCGAAAAAACAAAAACATTTGTTGTAAAAGATTTATATCTCCTATTGTGTTATCAATATGAATTTTTAAGTTTTTATTTTTTAATTTATTTTCAGCTCAGTCCATTAGAGCACACTACAATTCTGATACAAGGAATCTTAAGTATATATCAGAATTGTAGTGTGCTCTAATGGACTGAGCTGAAAATAAATTAAAAAATAAAAACTTAAAAATTCATAAGTATAAGGTGGAAGAAGCAAGAAAGAACCTTTTGTTTTAATTCTTATCTTAAACAAACATATTGTAAATGTTTACCATACCTATATTTTATACTTCTATAGTTTATTTTATTCTTCTATTGTTACTAAATATTTATTACTTAAGTCGAAGAGAAACGCATCTTGAGCATTCAAGTGAGTTATTCGATAATAATAAATAATAATAATTTTATATCGAAGGTCCAATTTCCAACTTAATATATTTCAACCTGGAATCACTAAATCATTCATTTATGATAAAAATTAACTTAGCTCGTGTATATTATGGTACCCACAAAACGTACCAAATAGACTACAAATTTTAGTTCAGTCAGCCTTGCCCCAAAAAATGTTGGGAACCCAATTCGAGCTCCCAAAAAAATACGTCGGAACCCAATTTGAGTTCTTTTTGGGTTGCGGGACCTAACTCGAGCTCTCCCGTTGAAACTACCTTAGGACGAAGCTAGAACGATGGACGAAGCTTGAAAGATTTGATGCAACATGACTTGAAGGTTTTGAACATAGGAATAAACAAACATTGAATTGGTTAATTATTATTTTTTATTTTTTGCTTTAAGGTTAGGAGTACTATAATATTGGATTGCTTTTATTTATTTTTGTAAAACGGATTAGTTGCTTGTTTTGATGTTTTAGGCGCAAAACTTCTAGGCCAACAAAGCCCGATCATTAAAATAATACTACTATAACCAGAATGTAAACTATTGCTAGCTGTAAACCTCATTGGGTTCATAACTTGCAACTTGTTGATAGCAGGGTAGATTTTAAATTGGTGAAATCAAATTTAGCAGTCATCACATAAATTAAAGCTAATGATAAATTAAAATATGACATTTTTGTTAGTATGCTGTCAAGTTTCTTTTGTAGAGCATACAAAAAAATGCATCAGAAAGTCCGATCTTGTAAAATTAAGATAATTGTTTTAGGTTTTCACACGCTAATGGTTTTATGAGTGAGAAATTTATTTTGAAATTTCATTCTTAAATTGACAATATTTCGGCCAAAATGTGATTAACGATCCTTTGAGGGAGAAAAAAAACGTGCTATTCTTGACATATAAATTAAGTTAATTTGATCAAACATGAAGTAATCAACACAAAAATGTCAATCAGAAAAGGTACAAGACTCAAAACTACCCCTGTGTTATCAGTGGCCGTTTTGATAGGGACTGGTGGTGGGGGTAAGCCGGGTTTCGGACCATTCAGTCTGCCTGCGACGTTTGAGTGTGAGGTGTCGGGAGTATGAAGTCCCGGTCCGGAATATCGTACAGTCTTAGGTAAATACTAAATATATTAGTATTTAAACAATATTTATTTATTTAAATAAATGTTCATTATTAAAAAAAACTTGAAATATTTACTAAACATTTCGTATAAATGGCAACGAAAAAAAACTTTAAAGTATAGAACTTATTATGAGCTATTATTTATGTATTTTTGTTAATAATTTGTAAAAGCTAAAAATTAAATTAATATAATTTAAAAAAAAAAATTCAGATTTTGGTTTGGTCTAATAAAATCCTAAGATAAAATATATAATTCTTATAAATAAATATGAATTGTAGTTTTTTATGCTTGTTATATATTTAAAAATTTATAAATTATGCTTTCAATTGGTTAAACATATATCTTTGATTTTAATAACTCTATCAATTTCTTGATTAAATTATAGTAAATTTAATAAGCGAAAGATATATAAACTTAATTTTATAAATAAAGCAAAAAATCAATCGAATTTAATAATACTTTTAAAATTTAATCATGGAAGATCAATTATATTTACAAATATTTTACAGCCTTAAGCGTTATAAAATTAAAATAAGTTCATTCAATTTGTAGCTATATAAAAAAGAAAGAAGATAATTATCATTAAATTAATTTATTTCCGTTGTATGAAGTTTTATTTATTTATTTTATTTTATATATCTATCAATTTCTTGATTAAATTATAATAAATTTAATAAGTGAAAGATATATAAACTTAATTCTATAAATAAAGCAAAAAATCGATCGATCAACAAAATCGAACTTAACAATACTTTTAAAATTGTATCATGGAAGATCAATTATATTTACAAATATTTTGCAGTATTAAGCGTTTTAAAATTAAAATAAGTTCATTCAATTTGTAGCTATATAAAAAGAAAAGAAAAGATAATTATCATTAAATTAATTTATTTCCGTTGTATGACGTTTTATTTATTTATTTTATTTTATTTATCTTTCAATTTCTTGATTAAATTATAATAAATTTAATAAGTCAAAGATATATAAACCTTATTTTATAAATAAAGAAAAAAATCTAGTGATCAATAAATCGAACTTAACAATACTTTTAAAATTTAACCATGGAAGATCAGTTATATTTCCAAATATTATGTAGCATTAAGAGTTTTAAAATTAAAATAAGTTCATTCAATTTGTAGCTATATAAAAAAGAAAGAAGATAATTATCATTAAATTTATTTATTTCCGTTTTATGAAGTTTTATTTATTTAATTGAAACTTTCAAATTGTCCTTAAAATATTTCATTGTAAATCCCTTCATCCAAACATTTATCACAGATTAGTTTAACTTCATTTAATACTTTATAAATTTTAAGAATAAAAATAAATGATATTTATATTTATTATTATTTTTTTTAAATATAATATGTGGGTAATATATAGGGAAAAATGTTAAAAAAGAAACAAAAATTGTCTCAAAACCCTTTAGGAGATTAAATTTCTAAATTTGGCGTTTACCTTCAGAACTGCTATTCTGAAATATGTAAATATTTATATGGTTTATTATATTGAGATAAATAAGATTTAGATAATAAATTCCCTATAAAATTCACCAGATATAATCTCAACAGAACACATTGTATGCATTTTAAAATTCTTGACCGGTTCTCAAAGATAAAAGGAATAACAGAACACCGGCGAACATGCCTGAAGAATCTTTTTTATTCCGGTATATATTATCTAGGTTTATCCTCTAATTTATTATTTTTTAAATTACTTATTTATTATAATTTTGTTATTTTCATTTACTTTCCCTTCGTCAAACTTAGTAAAACTGAGGATTATTTAATTTACTGATGGCAAGTGGTTATTTGGATTGATGCCTGACATCAACAGGTCAAAGGAAACATTGTTACCTTAGGCGCTAAGCTAGTTTGTATTTATTTACTTTTTTATATAAATTATTTAGAATTGGTATATTATATAAATATCTTATTTAAATTTAAATACTAAAGATACAAATATTTTTCAAAAATTTTCAGTGATTTTTTTCTAAAATATTACTAATATTATTAAAAAAATTAAATTCATTCACATTTTATTATAATTGTTTAAAAATATAAATTGCAGTAATATGCACTTTTTATTTTTGTTACTATCATAAATAATTTTATATGTATATTCCTTACAATATTTAATTTTATCAAACACTTGCCTTATTTTTATTATTTTGTATGATTTGAATATAAGACAATAATGAAATTATAAATGTTTTTTTCCAAATAGCCAAAGCACATACAAAGTATTACAAATCGTTGATGAAGAAATTATTTTATTTCGGCTGAGTAGTTTTCTGGACATTTTATAATTCATTCAAACACACAGTTTTCAAATAAAAAATACTATTAATTTATGAAATATCTTTAAAGATCTTAGAAGTTAAAATAATAAAGGATTGATGGCTGACTGTAGTACATAATTACAGAGAAGTTCGTTTGGGTTTTCAATCAAAATACTTTATTAAAAATAAATAAATTATATTTATTCCTTTGGCACCAAGGAGATAAAAATAAATATATTTTATCAATTTTTACTTTGTATTTTGATTGAAAACACCTACCAACTTCTCTTCAATTAAAAGTTAAAATGTATTGTGAAACTATATTTTCAAACCTGATTGTTAACTTACTTTGTTTTTTATTTTATATATAAAAAGAGAATTTCATTGTTTATTTACACATTATATAGTATTAGTTGTGTCGTGCGAATAATTCGCAGAAAATTTTATTTAGTGAAGAAATATAAAAACAATATGGAAATAAGTAGATCCTATGTATTATGTGAGGAAGGAATTGATATTTTTTCGTTTGTCGATTACAATATTCCATTTAACATAATAGACCAAAATATTTGTACAAATTGCTTTGCTAGAACCTATTTTTAAACAACTGGAAAGATAATAAAAGTAATAAAAACAAAATAATGCCCCGATCATGGGATTTTCTAAATTATTAAAAAATAAAATGTAAAAACAAACAAATACCTAGAGAAATAATACAGTCAATATATCGGCCAGGAAAAAAAGTGTAGTAGACTATTCTACGCCTAAATGCAATATCTTTAAAGAGGAAGACGTTATTAAGTATACTGGAACTAATGGACTGTATCTTTGTTAATAATTGTCTGATTTTTACGGTTTTTTTTTTTGTTTCGCAGGTAATTTAGTAATATTTTTAATTATCATGGGTACAATATAGAAAAAAAATCGCGAATAAAGTTTCTTTTCCTTCGCAACTTTTTTTTTCAGAAATTTCTTTAGGATAGGTACGTTTTTCGCATGTGAAGGAGAAGAATATCTTCAAAATGAGTGGTCAATCATTGGATTTGATGAAGAATTGACGAAATTATGGCGTACCGACAAACAAACACCTTTTAGAAATAATATATACAGGATAATTAAGTTATACAGTAATTAAAAAGTAAAATATTTATTTACCTATACATTTTTTAAACCTTTAACCTGTTTAATCAAGAAGCCATGTTCTAAACTAATGGCTTATTTGTAGATTAACGTGGGCAAATGAACTGGGAATCTAAGTATTTTTTTAAAATGGTGCTTTTTGTATTTTTGTTTTTTTAATCAATCCATTTCTTCTTTATTGTTAATTTTTTATTCTTAGTCTCTACAGAAATTATTTTTAAAAAAATAAATATATCTTAAGTATTATTTAATGACGAACCCTTAAAACTAAGAATATATCGAACCACGCAGAAACATAAATATAGAAGAAAGCAGATTTGAACCTTGAGCACTGACTATATGCTTGAAAGCTTATTTCTATTTTAAACTTTCCTTCCTCTAAAACTTATTATATTGAAAATTTTTTTCTTAAAAAAAGTATTTTAATTATTTTTTCTTCCATACTTTTAAATTCATAATATAACTTCTTCAGTTTAGAGACGCAAGATGTTCGCATCCTCATTTCAAAAATTGTAGTTTTTGAAGTAAGAATCACTCAAATGTTCCATGTTGCATTTCTGCGTATTCGAACGCGGACGCTGGGATGTTATCTTCTTGAGGAAACTCTTTGTTGTGGTTGATCAAAGCAGAGAATGTTTGGCTTTTAAAACTTGATACGGGCACTCAAACACTTCTCTCGGGTGTAAAGCTGAGACTCAATAGCTAAACTCTTGAACTCAGTTCAAAACCTTTTCATGATTTCACCAAACCGTATTCTCTGCGGTTGAAGCGTTTGAAACAAAGCGATACGCGACACAACAACCTCTTGTTCGCGTTTCTTTGCTGACGTCTTTCCATTTCCTTCTACACCTTTTCAAATGTTTTAATTGACTTGAAAGATCATTTTATTTTTTTTTTTATTTCTAACATTTGATATAAATTAAAACATAATATAAATTTTGGAATATCCTTAAGTTAAAGTTACCTTAGTTTCTGAAAAGGGTTTAAATATGTAATCACTTGCTTGCCATTTAACTGCATCGGTACCAGCAATAAAGAAGAGTATGACAGTATAATAATAACATTTATTATTCATTATTTATCTCGATATAGGCTGATGGATACACGCGATACAGCAACGATGGACCACGTGTATGTCATTTCGAGGTTTTCTTCTTTTTTATCGTATTCTTCTCATTTTTTCTCCCATCTCCCTCCCTCTTTCCTGTGGCCATTTTTTGCTTTCTTGCTGCTTTCGCTCCATGAATTTTAATTTGTTCACTATTTTCCCAAATTTGTTCCTATCTTGGTAGTCCTCCTCATTAATGCCCATCTTTTCTACTTCTTCTTTTATTTGTTCTGAATAACCTTTAATGTTCATAAACATCTAAACAACAAAAGAATACTGAGGTACTTACCTACTCTTCATCAAAGTCATATTTCCTTTTAAAAACGCATGGATAAGGGTTTACAAATTAAAAAATAAGTCAAAACAATCTAGAGATTTTATGTTCTTAGATAACTTTTCTCCATGTCTTGGGATTTGTTTCTTTGGCCTTTTCCTTAATATGTATTTTGATTAGCGATAGC